CGCATAGCAACACCCCAGCAATGACACCAAGTAGCCTAGCAACCGCATAGCAACACCTGAGCAACTACCCAGCGTACCTTAGCAACCGCATAGCAACACCCCAGCAATGACACCAAGTACCCTAGCAACCGCATAGCAACACCTGAGCAACTACCCAGCGTACCTTAGCAACCGCATAGCAACACCCTATCAACCATCCCAAGTACCCTAGCAACCACATAGCAACCATCTAATCATGCTGACAACATGCTAGTCACTTTTTAATCATGCTAGCAACATGCTAATAGTATGCTAATCATGCAAAAAAAATGCTAGCAAGATGCTAGTCACTTGCTAATCATGCTAGCGAAATGCTAGTCACTTGCTAATCATGCTAGCGAAATGCTAGTCACTTGCTAATCATGCTAGAAACATGCTAGCGACAGGCTAGTCACTTGTTAAGCATGCTAGAAGCATGCTAGCGACATGCTAGTAAATGTTAATCATGCTAGCGACATGCCAGTCACTTGCTAATCATGCTAGTAACATGCTAATCATGCTAGAAACAAGCAAGTATCATGCTAGCAACATGCTAGTAACATGCTAATCATGCTAGAAACATGCTTGTGACATGCTAGTAACTTGCTAATCATGCTAGCGACATGCTAGTCACTTGATAATCATGCTAGCAACATGCTAGTAGCATGTTAATCATGCTAGTAACTTGCTAATCTTGCTAGCAACATGCTAGTATCATGTTAATCATGCTAGAAACATGCTAGCAAAATGCAAGCTACACGCTAGTAAATTTGCTAATCGTGCCAGCAATATGATAGTAACAGGCTAATCATGCTAAAAACATCTTAATCATGCAAGAAACATGTTATCAAGATCTATCTAATCTATCTAAATTTTCAAACTTCTATCTATCTATCTATCTATCTATCTGTCTGTCTATCTATCTATCTATCTATCTATCTATCTATCTATCTCTGACAGACTGTATTGCCTTCAAAACATTCAAACTTTAAGCTTTTAAAACTATTTTAAACTTCAAACTATTTCAGACTGAAGACCATCAAACTTAAAACTTTTAAAACTTCTTAAACTTTTGAAAACTTTTCAAACTTTTTTAAACTTTCGGGTCCGGCTTTCTCAAGCCAACTTAAAGTTTGTCTAGACAAACTTTTTTATATAGTTATTATTATTATTATTCTGATCCTAAATTATCAACTCTAACTCCTCCTAGAGCTTTAACTCTACAGACTCCAAACTCAGCCCATATCTTCAGACTGATCTGAAGTTAGTTGCTATATCTTTTCTAACTGATTGGACTTACGGTTTTCATAAAAATGAATATTAAAAATCATAAAAATCCCATAGACTTACATTGAAAAGTCTCTGCTCACCAGAACATTCAGTCAAATTCCAACTGTCAAAATTAAAATCTAAACACACTGAAGCCCATTAGACTCAATCAGACTTGCCTTCTATGTACTATTTCTAACCCATTCAAACTCATCTATCTAATATTTCTCTATCTATCTATCTATCTATCTATCTTCTGACTTTCTTTTTCTTTCTTTCTTTCTTTCTTTCTTTCTATCATCTGATTATTTGTATCTATCTATCTTTCTTTCATCATCTGACTATTTCTATCTATCTATCTATCTATCTATCTATCATCATCTGACTATTTTGACTATTTTTTCTATCTATCATCTGAATATTTCTATCTATCTATCTATCTATCTATCTATCTATCTATCTGAC